TTTGACACGTGGTTAATCCGGCGTTAAACGAGCAACAAGCTTTCATTTTCTTTAAACGCGACGTGTGTGGAGACAATAATAATTTGTGGTGTCGCGCACTGGGCCAACATATCTCAATGCTGTATTTTTGGGTACTAGTACTTGTGAAATATAATAAGATCAATAGACATTAGTGTATCAAAATAAAGTAATTTTACTGATTATTTTAACTGTGCATCAAAGTAAACACACATTATTCTAAACTACAGTATTTGCTATATGCCTATAATTTGAGTTTGAGGTGGTAGAATGATCTAGAATATATAATAAAATAACAAATCCTTGTATGGATAAATGTTCATTTCACACGCACGCTATTAACAGCTGCTTAATAATTAACTTATGTATTCGTAAACATTTATACTCGATAGTCGATATGTAAATACTAAATGGTACATTATATGGACAATGCAAACTAGAACAAAACAACAATTGTCAATTGAAGTTCTAATTTTGGGAAATTTAGTAACAAATATAAAATCCCTAAACAGCTCATCGATTTGTATGTTTGTGCTATTAAAAGTAGACAATATTGAACAATGATCTGAAGTTGTCATGCAACTGACAACAATATTATATTTCAAAATACCTGTAGGCCTATATGATGATATTTTACAAATATCTCTGGATTTTTGGACCAATTTTAAACTAAGCAAGGCAAAAGTCTCCATTCAAGAATATATCTTCTTCTCAAAAGGTAAAATACTTAAAATACTTGATTAAATTGTTTACTTCGACGGTATGTAAATTAACAGCGTTTGACTTGCAAGACGTCAAAAACGGACGATTTGAACGCGCTGTCGTTTATCGCGTATTCATTTGCCAAAAGAAGTATTTACGTCAATTGAAAGCTTGCTTATTAAAGAGCCAACTAGTAGAAGCATGATCGATTTGGAGCTTTATCGCATGGTGAAAATCGGTTTTGTTAAGAGGGTATCGTAAATGAAGTAAGATAGTGTGCTCCAAAACTACGATTATATCTATTCCTAAAAGTAACTCAGACTTCCTGTAAGTCATGTATACCGTCCTTTGAATAACCGAAAACAAGATTTTTAGGGTTTCAGATCGATTAGGAACGGTTGTCGTCGTGAAATTTATCTGTAAAATCAGCGCATATTTTCCCAGAAAAAATGGCGATTTAGGGTGGTCGTGTTAAAACGGCATTTTCTCAAAGTTAAAAAAGCATTTGACTTAAAAAAATATATGGTGCATTTTCTGATATAATAAGGTATATCTGGGAAAAATTTGAGCAAAATCGATTTTTCAGTCGGGGTCGCGCAATGTCTCATATGTTCGATTTTTACTGACATTCACTCTTAATCATTTGTTGGGTTTTATTTACTGTACAAAATTTCAGACAATTTGCATTAGTCTAAGCCCTTTAATTTTTAGAGAAAAATGAATAGTTGCCTTTAACTAACTGTAGTTTAACTACTTAAACTAAAGCAAATCGTTTGAAATTTGTACATTAATTAAAAACCTAACACATTTTCCGATCGTGACTAAAACACCACACGAGTACATACGAGTAACATACGAGTAACACACAAGTACATACGAGTACATACGAGTAACATACGAGTACATACGAGTAACATACGAGTACATACGAGTAACATACGAGTACATACGAGTAACATACGAGTACACACGAGTAACATACGAGTAAATACGAGTACATACGAGTACATACGAGTACATACGAGTAAAATACGAGTACATACGAGTAAAATACGAGAATTAGCACGCTTTCTTTAAAGTTTCTTTCACTTTCACACTTTCACTTTGGCTTTGTATTATGTTCATGTTGTAAATGCCTTATTGACATAGGCGTACGAGACAGGGGGTAGGGGGGGGGGGCAACTGCCCCCCAAAATTGTGGAAAACCATGGAAATTCGGACAAACGCTAGGAAAAATCAAGAAAATTCGAGCAGATTTATGAGAAAATATGTTAAAATCAGGTTATTTCTTTACAATTCTCCATAAAAATTCAGGCAAACTTTCAACCCCCCCCCCCCCAGAAAACATCAGCCCCGTTCTCCCATGCGTATTGATGGATTTCGAAGCCTCGCACGACGTAGAAAAAGTAATTAATTAATATATATATAGAATAAAGATTTGTATGTTCTAAGACTCTGAAAAGGTTTAAATGTAGTATATTGCTCACAGGCTGTCAGAGAGTTTTTGTAGTACATGAAAGTGCATGTTTGCCATGTTGTTTATACGTCTGTAGTCTATGTGTTTTGCAAATTTAATACGTGAATTGTACACCGGGAAATATAAAATACTTAGGGTTCATTATTTATCGGTTGGGGAGGGGGGAAGGAGCTGTTAGATTCTAAAATTCAAACAACATAATAAAAATGACCCTCCCTTTTAATGTGTTTAAAAATGTAGTCCACCCCTTTAGAACAGTCTGAAAATTTTTCACCCCCCTCCAACAATAAAGTTAAGAAGAACATAGTATGGCCGTATGGTAGTTCTTCCCATCCTATTCTTTTGTGTGCTCTTTACAACCAGGGGGGTAGAGAGGACCTTCAACTTGGGGATGCTGGACAGGATTTAGCCAACAGGGGGGGGGGTGTGCAAAATAAAATCTAAATCCACAATATAATTGCGTATAATCTTGTCTAAGTAAGTAGATATGGCCCCAAGAAGAAAGGGTTTACTTTGGGTTTTTAAATGTAAAATATATTTACTTTCAATCATCATTCGGTTTTAAAAGTAATTCGCATTATTTTAACCTATCATTTTCCATCACGAAAAATCATGTCTTTTATGCATTATACAGTTTTCGGACTTATGCAAACTCACACCCCGAAAATGCAGGAAATCGCATTTCAGGGACCCTAGATTTCAAAATATTCTGGGGAGCATGCCCCCAGACCTCCACTAAAATGGCTCCCGCCTTTTGCGCTGGCTACGCCACTATCTCTATACTATCTTCTTTATATCAATGCTATAAAATTTTATTGTCTCCCCAAAACACTTCTTCAAAAGATTTAAACCACTCTTTTTATTTTACACCTACAAAATATATCCCCCCCCCATTATTTTACCAGCCCCCCCCCCCAACCGATATAAATAATGAACCCTAAGTATTTTATATTTCCCTGTTGAAAACGTATTAACAGGTGTACAATTGACGTATTAAATTTGCAAAACACATAGGAGAACGGGGCTGATGTTTTCTGGGGGGGGGGGGTAGTTGAAAGTTCGCCCGAATTTTTATGGAGAATTTTAAAGAAATAACCTGATTTTAACATATTTTCTCATAAATCTGCCCGAATTTTCTTGATTTTTCCTAGCGTTTGCCCGAATTTCCATGGTTTTCCAAAATTTTGGGGGCAGTTGCCCCTCCCCCCCCCCCGCCCCCCTGTCTCGTACGCCTATGTCAATAAGGCATTTACAACATGAACATAATACGAAGCCAAAGTGAAAGTGTGAAAGTGAAAGAAACTTTAAAAAAAGCGTGCTAATTCTCGTATTTTACTCGTATTTTACTCGTATGTACTCGTGAGCAATTTCAAATCTGCTCAGTTTTTTTATACACTCTAGCCCCAGCGAATTAACGCTCTTTCGAGCGCCTTGCTATTAATTAATTTCTAAAATCATACGAGTCATTTTATTTCTGATATTCTAAGCTGGTATTAAGCTGCCTATTCTGATTCATTGCAATTGCTATTATGTTATAAAATGATTTTTGAATAATATAATTTCATACAAAATTTGGGACGAATGCATATTATTAATTAAGCGAGCTATATTAAATGTTATGTCCATGATGTGTTAGCAAATTCCAAAATCGCTTAAAAGAGGGTGGAAATTACTTAAATAAACCTTTAAGAATCAAAGAAAGGACATTTAGGAACAAGTTTTTAATGTATTCTTGATTTTTGGACAGTAACACTGCGGCTAATAACAGCACAGGGACGTATTCAGGTTCTTGTGTCACGCGGAGAAATAGCTAAAAAATGCAAAAATTGCCAACTTCCTGATTTCTTAGAAATACCATGTGCCGCAAATTTTGTTGTGTGGATGTGTGGAATAGCATCCTATTTCAAAGTTTAAAAGCGATTTAGAACCTGGGCAGGTGCCACAAATGAGAATTCTGCAATGCTTAGGACCTATAATTCTCGAATTTGATATCACATGCGTTGAAGTGTCTCGATCACTATTTTTTTTTATTTGCCAGGTGCAACTAAACAGCTATATATTACTGTTTCTTAGTAGAAAAAGCACTCTAGTGCAGTTCAGACACGAAAACGAAGCTCTGATTAGCAGAGAAAATAGAAAAAGCTGACTGTGATTGTAGGCTTTGGAGACTTCAGAAACCGGCATATTTTAATTAACTTGGGTCCTGGAACAAAAACTCGCATAGCGGTTGTAAAAACCACGTTTGAACGATCTTAACTCCTGTTTTGTAGTTAGGATAGATGAGAGAATCGACGGTAGAAATATAAGAGAAATCTATTTTTGAAGCCCAGATCGAGTGGTCCGCTCTTACAGAGACGCCCTCTTAAATTACAATGTACACACCAGTTGAATGCAGCTACATAGACCTAGACAAGTACGATTGTTTTAAAACAAATTTGCCAGTAACGACACTTTCTAATGTCAAAACAGGGCAGATTAGGCGGTCATACCTGTGGGTTATCTTTCCCGTCGAACGTTCACCTTCCACAAACTATATAAACGCCTGTTTCATTCCAAAATCGCCGTTTGAAGGTTTTAGAAGCTTCAGATTTGCTAAAGGTTTTGTGCAGACTCCACGACTAGTATTTATTTTTTAACTTGACTGCATTACACCCACAATTTTAGTAATTTATTTGTACGGAATTAAATACTGCGCCGCCATTTATACAAAAACAACAAATTCCCTCTTTTTCGCGCAGGGGATTTTCTATTTTCTGTCAAATCTCCTCTTAATATGTACTGTAAATGTAATCAGTATACTTACTTCTGTAACAACATAACGATGTCCATTTGGACACTCTAGAAAGTGAAAGAATCAATTCAATATTTTCTAAATACTTGTATCCTAAAGAAGGAGACTTATAGCGGCGTCCATTTACTCATTAGGTGACGAGTCTGTGTTGTTCACTTTTACAAAATGAACTGCACGACTTAAATTGTTCTGTCACTTACCATACCACTTGGGTTGTCTATACGTAATTAACATTCCACTTGCGTTTTCTATGGCCCGCATAACTTCAGGACCATCATCATGAGGCATTGTGGGAATAAAAGCATTCTATATAACCCAAAGAAATGCATTTTGGAATATGCACAATACAATGATTAAAATCTTTAACACTTAATCTTATTATTTAATACCAATGCCGAACACTGTGCAACCTCGTACCCAGGGTATTACCTTCGCTCACTCCCTGCTGCGGAAGTACCCTGGTAGATATCCGTAAGATATTAAGTTACCAAGGGAGGGAGGGACAAATCTCAAATTACAATGCTTCCACTTTCCAAAGCAAAATTCGTTGGCAAGGGGAGGACGGCATGGTTTGAATTACAAAAGGAGTAATTTGAGCGCACTTTATATCGCAATTTATCATTGTATTAAATGCTTCGTGTCAAATTGCCAATTTTGCGCGCGTTTGTGTTATCTTTTTGTCATTCACATGCTGCCAGACCATAGAAGCAAAGTTGATAAACAAACGACTCGAATGGAGATGCTCGAGTTCATTGCATTTCTTGCTTGTTTGAAATTCGTTGTTCTAAATAGCGCATATCATAACATACTGAAACCGAAGCAAGTTCTTTGTTTGGAAAGTAAATTTGTTTGTGATGTTACTCTAAGTGTATATCCACACCAGGCAAGCTTGAAAACAAAATGCCCGGCCACGGTGGGAATCGAACCTACGACCTTTAGAATACAAGAATCGAACCTACGACTTTGGAATACAGAAAAAAAGTATTTATTTATTTATTCAACTTCGCCAGGTAAAATTACACGATTGATAACATTGTTCAAACTTCGAAAAGAGTCACAATTTAAACATACAGATCTCCATGTTCTTGGGTCCTCTGCATCCAAACAACTGTGCAGGGCTTTCGAATAATACGGTCGTAACAAACTCTTAAATGTACTTAAACATATATTATTCATTTGAGAAAAGATGTTATTTGTATCTTGCCAAAAGGTTATGGAAAGTCTCTGATTTTCCATCTGACACCATTGTTGATGTATGCAAGGGATCCCTACTAAACAAGTCGACTTTCTTTCTCCATGGAAATCAGTTGGGATATCGTTTCGTCTATTGCTATCGTTGTGTCTCCCTTGAATTCACCGATACAAAATCAAATATCTCGACTGAAATCAAGTGGCCTTCGCGCGTCTGCTATTTCCATAATTCGCAAAGAAATATTCCATAGAGAAATCACAATTAGATTGCACATTTTGGGTTTAAATAGAGATTACTAACATACGTATACGGATGACTACATTTATTAATTACTGTAAAGTATAGGTAGATGACATTCATAAACAATTGACTCACTTCAGTATTGGCATGGGTAAAGGTGTGGCAGATCTAGTTTCATCACTCGAGAGGAGGACACATTGACAAAGTCTAAAGCGAAACTGCGAATTCGACTTTCGTCACTTTCAACTGTAGTAACCTTTGCAGAAGGTCTGGCAACGGATGGAGAAACTTCAGGGAATCGCTTGGATCCGGAATCTTTTACTAATGATTTCTGTGTTGTGGAAATTAGGCCTACATTCTTGAATGAAATCGTATTATTTAATCGTCGTTCACACAATGACGTGGCTAGAGGCCCGGGGGCCGCCCCCCCTAACAAAATTATTGCCCCCCTTTCGAAATCTAAAATCTCTCGTCCTGTTTGCTTCATTTGTAGCTTAATGGAAACATGCAGAAAGTGTTTTCAGCTTTTAACATTTTCAGCAACTAAGGAGAGTTTGGTAAATTAACTTACCATTATTCGGGGCATTCCTCTTTGATTATCAAAATAACAACAAGCAAGTTGGTCGTACGTGCAAAGTTTTGGCAAACCCATGTCACAAGGCAAACTTACCAAATAAGTCAATCAGAGCCATAGCAACCGGGGGGGGGGCTGGTGGGGGCTGCAATAATTTGCTAATAATAATTCTTTTTTCAAAATCATGCTAACTTTTATCATTTAAATAATATAATTTTAAAATACTGACATTTGATTAATTCTAAGCGGCTACATTATCCATGACAAACTGACTACATTATCCATGACAAACTTTTCCGACCATCAGAATTCTGGCAAATCTTCCTCAAAATTTCAGCGACTCTAAATTTAAAAATTTCCTTGGGCCTTCGGCCCTCGCTTTCAGCCACTCAATAAAAAGGAGCTTTCTGGTTAATGTGTCGCTGAGTAGCTGATTGTGAATATTTTATTCTTTATGTACCGTTGTTATACCTTTTATTCAATTTAACGTTTGTTGTATTTGCAGTTATACAATTAAACAAAACTAATTGGGTGCGCCTATGTGTACGTACTTTGTTTCCTTCTTTTCAATTTTCATCTTGTTTGAAGTGGCCCCCTTGGCCGTAAATCCTGGCTACGCCACTGCGTTTACACAGACGGCAGATAAAATAAGGAAAACCATTAACATGCGGCACTTTCTCGCCATGAATCAACTCCACGTTATTCAAAATTCTTTCATTTCTTTTTTTGAAGAAATTTTTACAGTGTCTCTGATCTTGTACACCATTACATAATCGACAACGAGGAACTATGTTCAGTTGATCCAGAAGATTTTTTGTAACATCTCTTTGGCGTGCTTTGCTAGCCATTAGTATAAGCCGATATAGTGACAATATAGTCAAATATGAGATATTTGTTAATCTTTAAGAGCAATATGATACTCTTTCGGCTGCAATACATGATTAACTTTTAGGAAAAATCTTTTATTATTGTCTCGGGCATTACGAGGGGCGGAACAGTAACTGGAATGCCCATTTTGTCACAAGATAGTCGTTTTTTTTGGGCATGTGTCCGAGTCGCTTTTCCCAGGCACATATTTGGGCAGAAATATTGGTAATAATTCGTCGAAATGTCAGGTTTTTGACAAAACTACACTGACAAAACGGTGGTCAAAGGGAAGTTGAAGGAGAAATTTACGGTGAAAGTTACGGTGAAATTCGGCGTTTTGTGGGCAGCGAAGTGTTTGGGTTTAGTATTAAATAATAACATAATGAATGAACACGAAAATATGCCACGTATATATAATAGTGAAGTTTAGATTTGACTCCTCTAACACCACTGCTACTACTACCTTTTACTGACTATTTACGCATGTGACTGGCGTAGATTTAAAGTATCTGATTGGTTAATGGTAGTGGTAACCACAGAGGAAGTTAAATCTAAACCTCACTAATTAAAGACGAATTTAGATGTAAGTTGATTCTATTAAGTCTTTATTCTTCCAGTATTTTCAGCTAAAATGCAGCAAAATTTGCTTGTTATATATATTTTCTTGAAATGATTTGAAATGTTTATATTAATTACAATACATCTACGAAATTTTATAAATCATAAATTGCGTTAATCTCCAGCAATCCGGGAACTTTGTTTACACTCAGCTCTGTCTGCATGTATGAATAAACTGATAGATGCATGGACAGATAGATATAGATGTATGAATAGATATCTGGTCTTAGCGTGCACTAAAATAACATCGAATAAAAACGCATGTTACTGAAAATTCTTACCATCATCAAAGCTGGATTAAAAGCAAGATTCATAAGAGGTTGCAGCAACCGATGAGGCAAACATTTCATGACGACAAGAAAATGAACCAATAGTTCAATTAGCCGTCTGTCATTGCTTGATTGACGAGAACTTAGCTGTAGAAGTTGGCCGTTAGCGTTTTCAAAATTTGTGAGAAAATTTCCAGCTAGTCCTTTTAACTAAAAAGAAGAGATCCCAACATCAATAAACCAAAAAATTCAATTGGTGATATATTTTGAAACAAATTTGCTTCAAATGGTTTAAACTTTTCAACAAGTTTACAAGCGAATCTCGCCTTGGTCCCCGAGCCACCCGGGGCGAGGGTGTTAATTCCGCCCGGCTATTTACACCCGGGTGTTTGAGAACATAGCGAAGTGCAAAGTTGTCCTTCATTATGTGATGGACAGTCTTCGACGTTATGCGCATGCGCGAGTGCAAGCTCGCGCTAAAAATATTGTTTATCACTTTGCAAAGATGTATTTTGCTATTTTACAATATATTTTTGCGATATATTTGGCTTCAACCTCGTTCCCAGGGCTTTCGAGTGAGGACGAGGGGAGAGACGATCTCGTCTCTCCCCTCCCCCCGTCCTCACTCGAAAGCCCTGGGAACGAAGTTGATTTCGCTTTTAACTGGAAAAAAGCTTGAAGTTTCATGAATTAGTGGCTGTGAACCGTGAAACAAAGTGTGAAAGGCATAAACACGAATTTTGTCGGAGGCGAACTAGATGTTTTTAACAAATTTTAACAATCGTTGTGGCTATGTTTGGAACTTGGGTAAGTGCCTTACTTGCTTTGTGTTTTCGATTTCATTCATATCTGCGAAATTTTTATGCCATTCTTAATTAACTCAGTAAATATATTATGTTTTTGTATGCATGCAAGCTGGTATTTACATGAAGTTGTAATGTAATAATATTATTTATTTGGGGCAATTTAATAATACAGCTAGCGTATTAACCTACATGCAGCAAATACGGCTTGAACAAGATATAACTCAAAAACTAGCTTCTGCCTATGAAGCAATATATTTTACCGGCCGTATTTTCGAGCAAACTACTGAGCGAAACAAGTTTTTCAGTTTCCCCTGCAGTTTCACGCCAAATTTTCGAAACGTTTTACCCGAAAGCCACATATAAACATAAAACCACATTCCAGATATGAAAATCAATGATTCTTTAGTTAAAAAATTATCTCGTATTACTTTATCATATTATTTTCACGTTATACCATAGCGAATATTATTATTTTAAACATGAATATTTCATGTGGAATTTCTATACTTTATATGTTAAGAAAGGCGAGGGGTTGGTGCATGCATGTATTTCTAGTATGGAAATAATATGAAAAGTTACACAGCGTCCATATGAGATAAAAAGTTTCCCCGTCTATCGAGATCTCGCTTGTTGACAGGCGAGATCTCGGTGTCCGGGATGATGTTTTTCCCATACTCATAACATTCCCGCTTAGCGGGATGACTTTCTGTCGTGTCAGCAACTTTTCAATTCAATTGATGTTCAGTACTACGTCACAGCCGGAAACTTTACCCGGTAAAACTTGGTTGCCATTAAATCGTAATTATCGCAAGAACCGCATCGCAAGCGTCGGAACGATTTTAAAAACGCAAAATTTTTAATAAAAACTGCGATTTATTGGAAATTTGAGTCACGCCGATTACCAAAAATCTACTAGACTTACTGCGATTTTTGCGTTAGCGATGTCTGCGTTCCGTGACTATTGCGATGATGATGATTTAATGGAAACCAGGCAGTGCATTTTTTAAGGATTCTTCAGTGGTGGGGCAAAACTGCCGAAGGGTCCATTTTCCTTGTTCTCCCCCCAGGATAGTTTGCGATCGCCGAAGGTGCGCGCCGAGAACCGCAGGCTCGAGTTAGCTAGGGGTGTCTGGGGCATATCCCCCAGGAAAATTTTAAAATTTGAGTCTCTGAAATAGCATTTCCTGCATTCCGAGAACACGTTTTTAAAAAATCTCAGCTGCTCGAAACAAAGTTTTAATAGTAAAATTTGTAATAAATTGCATGCTAAACATCTAAACACAACATAAGTTTAAAGCCCGTTAACACTACGCTCAATTTTTGGTACCGTACGACTTTTTGGTTCAACCTAAATAGGTAGTCCAAGAACCAAAAAAGTGGTACGGGTACAAATTTAAACTCATTTACTCAATACTTGTCATAGGGCCCTCATGGCTTTGGGGCAATAGGTCAGTTTTTTCTTCAGTGGTGGGGCAGAGGAATGGGCCCAGTGGGGCAAATGCCCCACCAGTCCATGGTATTAAAAAATGCCTTGAAACCAGGCTTAAGCGGGATAACGTTTCTCCATATGAACAGAACAAAAGTATTTGGCTAGTCGAAATGTTTTCTCGCATGGCCAGAAATCACGGACATTTTCATTTCTCAGGTTTCACCGTTACCACGAGCACCCACGTAACAATGGCTGCGCAATGCCCTATGTTTATTATCAGGCGAGCAGAGTATTTTCAATATAGCATGCTATATATAAATCTTTGAATATTTGTTGAAATTGGTTCAAGAAGTAGCGGTCGTATAGTATTTTTTGCATACTCGCTATGCTTTTTGCGATTGAATATTACAACATTTTACCTCACTTTACAAAGGAATCTACAAAGGTTTCTCGCTCAAAAGGCTATATCTCGTGATATATTCAATTATCGAAATTTGTTGAAATCATTTTATTTTGACGAATAGTATAGCCTTGCCTTCCGCCGTTTATTATTTTGTTACACCCGAAAAAGCTCTGCTTTTTTGTTTTGAAATTCGCAAGCCGGTGCGTTAATATGCATATTATAATTATATTACTTCGCGATCGAAAAGTGATATTCCATTCGCTTGGCAAATTCGAAATATTGATTTCCTTGCTATATGTTTGGTACCAAAATACTCGTCGAAAGCTTCTCTTTTCGTTCCCGTGGTCATTGCTTAGCTACACACTGAGCCTGGTAAACTAAATGCCACAACAATTGAGTGCATACTTCATGCTTTGCTTTATAAACAACACCCACGCGAATATTTGAAATTCCGGATGCTTTGATAGGTCGTAAAAGGATAATTAGGAATTCTTGTGGATAAACGGAAAAGCCGCTGACCGACTGGTACGCTTGCACAATGTCCGTCATTTCTGGCAATGTTAACCGGAATAACTTTTGCTCATATGAACCGGTCCTAAGTGCGAAAAACATGAACGAGAACCCGACACGAGCAGCTAAACCATTTTTTGTTTTTGATTCATAACAAATGATTATATTGGCAATAAATTGCAATAAAGTGCAAGAAATACAAATCAAGCAAGTGTGTTTTAAATATTGATGTATTGCAGTTGTTTCCTTTAAAAAATGATGCGTAGGTCTATCAAAAAAGATTTCAGTAATTAGTTTTGTTTCTCACTATATTGTTTAAAGAAACCTTAAATAAAAAGAGAGCATAGTTATTTTCATGGATGAGATTTGAGAGAATTGCACAATTTGAAATAATTTTATTCTTAACAATATACATGAAAAAAATTCTCAATTCTGATTGGCTAAGACCAGCGCATTTTTTTCGAAATGCCAAAAAAATGAAATAAAGTACCAAAAAATGGAATACAGTGCAAATTTCATTGACTTATAAGATACAGCAATTTCTAGCAGAAAATAATACAAAAACCCAAATATTTACAACTGACAAAAATGGCTGGCGATTTTAGTAGATTTTCTGTTAAAATTATTTATATTAAAATTAACTATTTCGCAGGTTACTTACGCACGCATGCATGTGACTGCATATTAATTCTTTCATGTATTATTATTAATAAGTAATAGTATGGTTTCTCGTTCAATTTGAAAAAACATGCACTCGTGAGTTTTTCAAAGACGATCAAAATTGGACAATTCTGAAGGATGAGTGTAATTTGAAGTCTTTGAAAAACTCACGAGTGCATGTTTTGTCAAATTGCGTTCGAAACCTACGCTAATTTAACGTTTTTCGATACATCTAACATATATAACTTGGAGATTGATAATTTTCTAATCAAAAGTAATAATATTTTATAATTGTTTTTAAAATATTGTACAAAAATATAAAAAATGATCTTGTTACCATGACAACCAGTGTTAGAAAATTATGTTCGTTGTTTGGTTAGTAAGGCAAGGGGTTCTGTATGGTATGTAAAGCGGGAAAGGCCGCCCGCTCCCCTCCTTTTCCTCAGAACCAATTTGGTAAATCTTTCAAAACTGAGGAGACTTAAAAAGATTATCATAGAAAGAGCGTTTCACCAAACCGATCATAAAAATGAAAATTTTCCAAAGGACCATGTCTTCGACTGGGCTCGTTCCGGCCTGACTACGCCCCTGGGCATGTATTTCTAGTACTTATTTAACATTTAGAAAAAACTTTTCCGTGCGTATACGTATACATGTGAAAAACACTTAACTGGAAAGCAGTCCTTAGAAAGTGATGGGAGACGTAGGGGAAAATCGTGTGCGAGAAAATCAAAGAAAAAATTCGGCAAAAATCCCGTATACCCCCAATCACTTTTCCAATGATACATGTCAACAAGCGCCCTTTGCATGTCCTATATAGCACCCCGACTAAAATTATTACTTAATATTATTACTAAAAATACCTAGTTATAATAATTTCAAAATTAGAGTCAGATGCTAATGTGTGTTACGATTGAAAGGCAAACATTTACGTCAATTATTCTTAATGTAAAAACTAATTAGTTCAAGAATGTTCTTACTTCGTTTGGTAGATACTGAATCCCTTCGATGTACCGACTCAGCTTTCCCAAAATCTATAAAAAACATTTGTGTGAACTTCAAATATTTTGCATGCTCTTATTTTTCTCAATAAGTAATATTTTGGTTAGAACTCTTAAGAAAGGGGAGGGGTTGATATTATAACGTCGGGGGACATCGGATTTGATTAAAAAATGAATTGATCTACTTGGTTTGCCAGTATATGGAACAAAAAAACCGGTGAATGTTTAATCAAAACTAGCCAAGCAATACTTATATATACCTGTATATGTTTTTAGGGTTGTAAGGAACAATATCAAACCAAGGTCGTGCTGTATTGACCGAGCGATAGGCCAATAGAGCAAAACCGAGGTTTGATATTTTCATGTTTCCTCTTTTTTAAACTAACAAAACCGAAATTTCCGAAAAAAATCTATAAATCTGTGGCTGCTTCAATTGTATTTTTGTTTAGATAGTGTCAAATTCCTCCTGGCCATCTGCAAACAAAATTTGCAACTCTTCACATGTTCAAACCACAAAATATTATCGACTGCTTCAATAGTTAACAACATGGGAAAGTTCTTTAACCACAGCATTACCCCTTTTTTGTGTTTTACATTTATTTCTCTTCGTTCTGAATATTTTGAAAGACTTTTTGAGCTCGGCTCTCATCGCAGCTTCGTAGGAAATACGGGACAATCCTGCCTGTTCTGAAGCTAATGAAATTGTGTGATTCGCCAAAACAAATAGTTGCTGTACAATAATTATCGAGACCGAGGGAAACAGTTTACTTTTATTTTAAACCAAAACTGGATAAATGGAACGCCGTAAATGTTGAATAAAAAGTTTAAAAATTAAACTTTGGAACTTCATGGTTAACACGCATGCGTATTGCACCCATTTTATTATTGACCGGTCAATAAATGTTTCAGCGCGTAGTGAACACGACGTTTTGTGGACCGGCACGTGATACGGTTTTCACCAATTGGCAAACAGAAAAATTGAACTTTGACACTAACTATATAACAACTAGATCTATTTACTCTTTATAGTTCCGTTCACGAAAATCAACCAAAACGCGATGCGCGATTTTTGCCCTCTTTGCATGAAATATGGGAATTGTCATTGGGCACATGCAAGCAAAATGGTGGGAACAACCACCTTAAATTAAAATATACACGCATCAAATAATAAACGAGCCAAAACCTACCCTAGTAGGAATTCCATCATCTTCTCCGTTCGGATGTGAAAAGCTTGTCGTTACTTCACGGAACAGGGCCAGTAAAACATAGCAAGAACGTACGGAGGGTTGCGCCTGTAAATTCTGTAATATATATATATATATATATATATATATATATATATATATATATATATTATATATTTCATCCTGATAAAGTCAACTAAAGATATCACCTTAACACTTCTCTAACTCAAACAAAACTAAATAGCAATGCAGTAAAATTCCTTATGGAATTAGAATCAGACCAGGCAAACAAATGGTGAGGTAATTTTTACTTAGGAAGAGGCGAGCAGAAACAGGTTTAGTTTCTGATAACTACGATCGATTGCAATCGATCGAATGAGAGGGACATGTGGGACTATAAACAACAATTACTCACTTCAATGACTATATTTAGATCGTCGACGTTGGATGTAAGTATTGCTTTGCCAAGAGCCTCTCGCACAGTGTGATAATTCTGATGATGAATTATAAACGTGTCTGGACTCTTAGTTTGCTCCTAAAAATTCAACAGAGATACAAGTAGGGGATTGATTTAGGCAGGTAGTTCCAAAATGAGACCGACCCATTACTGATTTGTGAATCCAGACTGACTCGATCCCAAAAGTCGAGAGCGCTATCAATTTTCAACCAAAACATTTTAATGACTTTAGGAATTTACTAATGCGTGTGTGTACAGTCAAAATTGTGTTAAAATTCGCACATACGACGCACAAGCGATGCTGTTTGTTATGACTAATATTAGCCGAAGTCGAGATACCGGAATTTTACTGTTACATCATTGTCCAACAATATAGTCAAATTATATCTTTACAAAAGCAATCAGCAGATATTACATTTAAAAATAAGCTTATACGACATTCGGTAGCCCGCAATATATTTCAATAATTTAAGTTGAGACTGCAATATTGGGCAATATTTTAATATTTTAATATTTAAGTTGAGACTACAATATTGCATGGGCGAGACCGAAGGTCGAGCCTAATATCATGGACGTACGGGCCTATTAGTTTGCCCGACCACTTGGCTTACACAGTATACCTCGTATACAACTTTGTTCGAGATTTTATCAGGGCCTTTTTTAAGGATTTTCCCGTGGGGGGGGGGGATTTTTTGAAAAGGGACCTTTCTGTGAGATAATATATTAGTGAAGGATCCCCCAGAAAAGCATCCAAATTTGTATAGGAAATTACACGGTTCGAGAAGTATTAATGAAAAATCGCACGCGTGTATTGCAAAATATTTATAATACCGCGTACGAGCGGTATTATAAATATTTCGCCAAATACAAGTGTGATTTTTCATTAATACTTCGAGAACAAGTGTAATTTCCTATTAATATATTTTATAGTCAATTTTACACGAGCATTCAATGATAAGAAACATTGTATTTTATGTGTTGAAGCGAGCATAGTCGGCCTCTGCATATGGTCAATTTTGAGAGCACTTTCCGGACATTAATTTTCAATTAATACCTGTAAAAACTGTGAATAACCTTTATTTCTTCTTTTTCTTTGTTATGAAAGCATAAATAAGACCTCATTGTAAAATAAAAGCTCAGAAAATGTACATTTTCAACTAAAGTTGTCTTTAACGCACGCATGATCCACGCAGGCTCGTATCCGTGCCGAATGATTTTTAATCGGCCCACCTGTGCGATTAATTTTTAATCGGAACGGTTTTTAACCAATCAGAATCAAGTAAATGGACTAAAATGATATTAGCTCTAAAATTTATGCTAACTATACTTGTATTTGAAATAAAAGAAAGAAAAAAACGCACAAAAAATAAATAAATTATTAACAATAATTTATCATTACTTAGTGGTAAAAAAACGTAACAACTTAAATCGATTTTGTTAAACAAGGACAAAAGATAAAGCCTAAAACTTACTTTCCGTTTATCAATCTGTTATTCTTCGCTGGTTTGTTTGTATAAATTTAGGAAAAAAGGCCTTTTGCTGGGGGCGGGCAAAATGTGATTTCGTGGGGAGGGGGGCAGCTTGTACGTTAAAAAAGGCCCTCGATTTTGTATGTGCTTTTATAAACAAATGAGTATGATTGTGTAAAGGCTGCTTTAGCAAAAATTTAACCGAAATGTCTAGAAACACTAAGACAAAAACCAAGAACAATGCTCATTGTTTCTGCAATGTTCATAATCTTTGCCATAAGCCATCATCATTCATATACAGGTGTTCTTTATTTTGGGCAAAATAGATTACAAGCAATTAATATTGGCGTTATTATATTTAATCATTCATTCTTATCAACTTTGATGAAAGTTATATGTTTTGCCCGAAGGACACATAGATTTCTGCTCAATTGCCCGACCGTAACAATTTTTGGGAGGCATGTAACCCCCGTGCGCCCCCCCCACCGGTCAATACGCCTATGCCTAATATTGAAGTCGAGACTTGATATTTTGCCATATTGGGCGAAGATGGATCCAATAAATGTTTTATTATATCAAACAAAACAACTCTATAACAAAAAGTTGTCTACAAGCGATAATAATACAGCGAGAATAATACAACAATAACATTATCACACATCGGCAGAGAATTTGCTTAAATAACTAAACAAAAAAAGTTAATAACCTTGTTTTAAAAGCAAGTTTGCATAAAAATCTCAATTCCACGTATGTTTAAAGGTAATTTGATCTAATTTAATGAAAAACTAATATTATACCTCAAATTCAAATTGTTCAATTAAAAAACAACATTTGTACCACGTGACAATGTGATTTTTTACGGTATTTCACTCAAATTCATGTTTCGCAATGCAGCGTGAGATACTATAATATCCCACGGCAGATCCACCGTGGGATATTATAGTATACCACGCTCACGCGTGACGCGTGGACACCACGCTTTGAAACAATATGGCACTCGCGAGCTGTTGTTTACTTTTTGTTTGTAATTTCGTACGGAAGATATATTAACTTAAGTTAATCAAAGATTTTCAAGACGTATGTTACCTTCAACAATCCAAAGGATACATACTCAAATATTTTAAAGAGAAAATGTCAAAAACTCAGGTACACATAAGAAATTAAAAATTGGATTCGCTCCAAGTTTATTCGGCGATATTTCCCTCAGTGATGATATTTTCCTCGGGGCAAAGCCCCTTGGAAAATATCATCACTTCGGAAAATATTACGCCGGAAACCCCCTCGCCCCGGGTCTATAAATGATAAGTAACCTCTAGTGATGCACCGATATGGAAGTTCACCGATATTCCGATAACCTATATTGAAGGACCGATATTTTGCCGATACCGATATTCTATGTCTTCTCACAAAATTCAAAGATGACATCAGGACATGTACAGTTCTACTTTAATACTTCCGAACATAATCCAATTCATTTGTTCCTAAATACCGAGAATATCAAATAAAATGTCGCAAACGCATGCAACAAACTAGCATATTACTACGCTAGTGACTGCTTATTCGCAATAAAAAATACTGAACTGCAACTATAACCAATCATTAATATTTATTAATATATAATCTTTGTTCACTGTTCAAAATGCACGCACGTCATTGGTCAAAATCGATCACGTGTATTTTTGTTACCTGGCAACAACGAATCCTGCGAATGCGTTATTGACAATAACGCATAAAAACTGTGCATTATTGAAAATGGCTGCCAATGAGGCTACCGGCTCAAGGTTTGCTCGAGTCGATGAGGAAGAAATTAATCAGATTATAGAGGATGCAATACCTAAAAGTACAAAAAGACAAACAAGCTGGAGCATTGCTATCTTCAGAGGTCAGTAAACCAAGGAAAAACTTATATTATTTGCCCCGTGTGTAAACAAGTGCTCGAAAAGTTGCATGCAAGCAGTGAACTCAGATTATATATTAAATGGGTTAGACACTGTAAAGTTCGTCTTTTGTTTACAAATATACGCACTTGCTGATCGTACAATGAACTCGAAATTTTCAATACCGGCTGCACTCGGCTTCGCCTCGTACAGTATTGAAATTTGTCGTTCATTGTACGATCAGCGCGTGCGCATATTTGTAAACAAAACACTCACGGCAGTCTCTAACCCTTAAATAACATTTTGTAATATCGGTAATATCAACAACAAAATTACCGATACCGCGATATTCCTATTTTAGTACAGATAAGCCGATACTGAAACACCGATATTGATATCGGTGCATCACTATAGTAACCTCGCGACTGTTGTAAACAAATGAATTTCGCGGAGACAGGTTTTCCCGCGCTTTTATAATTTTAACCAAAACTGGTAGAAAAATCTCTCATAATGTTCCAAATTCTTTTTATTACTTTGCCATATCATTTGTTGTGTGTTTGAAATTGACAAAACATCTGAAAAAGTTTGATAAACCAGGAAAAAATCCACGATAAGCTACTGTTCAATATGAACTGTCCTACATCGTAAAATACCTGGCTGGAAGTGATGCTATTGAAGACACGTCATTGGTCAATGGCATGTGAGCGTAAAATAAACATACATACATACAGACTTTATTTTAACACGCTAGCCTAATCAACTGTTAGCTGGTTTTCATGGAGTCAGGTGTGTTAAAGGACCAGGCATGTTGTTTATATATAATAAGAATAATAATGGGCCCAAGATGGACCCCTGTGAAACTCCACACTTTATCTTTCTCAAATTGGATATGTCCATTTTTCATACATTGCTGTTCTCTGCTACCCGATACGAATGAAAAATTTTAGTTGGTGCCCAATATACAATACAATACAACGGTAACTCCGAATAAAGTAAGCATTTTGATTCAACGTTTCGACTTTATTTAGTCATCATCAGGAATGGTTATATTACAAGTGCATGCGTTTTATATACTCTACGTAATTTGATATATGATTAAAAGAAAACCGATAGTTCTCTGGATGCTTTAGTCCCATGATTCAGTTCCGGTTTTTGTCGATGAATGGCGAGTGCTTCTTTGAACAGCAGATTTGACCAGTGCTTAGCCCTGTCTATGATGTTGCAGTTGTTCAGTAGGAAGGCTGTTAGGTTAAATTGGTCAGTGTTGGGTTCGTCTATGTTCAGTTGTAATAGATTTGTGAGAAAGTGCCCAATATGCCAAAGTAATTGCGCACTTTATCAAGTAATATTTCGTGATTTATGGAATCAAAAGCTGTTCTAACTAGGTCTGGATTTAAGGGAGAAATAAGTTCTGATCTTCAAAATATCAAAAACGGGATATCATAATGTAAATTAGTTATGAGTTTAGAGTTATGAGCCAGTGGAGCAGACTATGTACGTGAATTGTTTATTAATATTTTTTGGTTTACGCCATATAGTTATTTTAACAACAGTGTTGTACAAGCAATTTAAGGGGCCAATTACATGGAACGAGTTGACCGGGCTAACCGAGTTGGCCAAGTGAGTTGACTTTTATAGAATGTACCGGTAGATGTACCGGGCTAATTAACCCGGCTGAACTAGCTCATTATGACTGAAAATGCTCAATAGTAGAATATTTGTTGTAGTTTTTCAATTAAATATGGCTAATATGTTGTATTTTGTAACTCCCTCACGTATAGAACAGTGTTGGTTGATGTAAATTATATTTAGTATTGTCCTCAACAGGTTTTTTCGCTTGTATTCTCGTAAAATGTATTGTCCGGAACGTCATTAAAGCGTTTATTGAAGCACAAAAAAGCCATTACATGGGAAATAAGCAATTACAGTTTCAACTCGGCTAAGCAAGTTGGCTTGGCAAGCAACAGCCGCGGTCTCGGCAAAGCGGGTCAGCTCGGTTCCCATGTAATTAAAATTATGAAACAGGAGGTAATTAATAATAAACATATGCATGAAGTGGGCATCTCGCTTAAGCGGGCCAATTCGATTTACCGGTCAACTCGCTCCATGTACTCGGCCTAAGAAAAACCCTAAGAAAATCTTCTGACGATCATTTTTTAAATTTCCAAAACATATCGATCAAGGCAAGCAGATTTTTCCGATGTGATTACATTTTATTTTACCTTTTTATGAGATATTTTTTTTCATATCTTCACTAGTGAAGATATCGATGACGTGACTTTTACCAATTTGCTTTTGAGCGGTGAAATTTCACAACTTTTTGCTTGGGACCATATAATAAACAGAACATTACACGGTGGCTTGAAGATATGACTTTTACCTTCTCGTGTTAAAACCATATTTTACTCACTCGCTGCGCTCGTTCGTAAAATATTGTTTTCACCACTCGAATATAAAAGTCATATCTTCTTGCCGCCGTGTAATATCCTCTATATGTCATATGTCACTGCTTTACTGTCTGGACTGAGAATTCTGTATAGATCGATGCTGGATAAGTAAAAAACACGCGATTATCAACGAACAAGATTTATCTAGTATTTATAAACAAGAATACTTGACAAATACTCAAGACCATTACTGACCATGAGAGAAGTAAAGAAAAATTGTATTACCTCCGACTGTGGTGGCATAATCCATTTAAATTCCTCTCTTTTACATCTTTCTTTAACAGCATCAATCCCATTGGGGTCATAGCGAACTAACTGCTTTAATAAAAACGACTGAATAACAGATCGACTTGAATTACTACACAGATGTTTTGCTGCTTCAAGGCACTTTGGAAGGGCTTTGAAACGTCTTACATTATCCGTAAAATCATCGCCCAAATATGTAGAAAGGACATCCAACGAGGCCCTTATTCCAGCGATATCTTTAAGACAATTAACATTCAAAGAGTTTGATGTAACATGGATAGTCCGCAATGTTCTGTCCAGTATTCTGCTTGCTAATGAGATCTGTATATTTTCCCCACCTTCTTTCGCTTTTAATAATTTCACTGTCTCGACGTCCTAGGCAAAGGAATCAATATTGAAAAAGTTTTAGCTAATTTTGACAAAACTAAATTTCAGCCAGCAAAAGTTAAACATGCGGTAGCCCCTCCTTTAAATGTCGTACTAAAAGGGCTAGTACAGTACAAGAGTTGCCACTTGTCTCGCTAAAGAAATCACTGGTTCATTCCATACTTTATTTCAGAACGAACCCGGTATGTATTGGAAACAAGAAATATAACTTGTGTTTGACTCTTTCTAATCTTTTACAATGTCATGCACACGTCGAATTTTCAACATGGTAATATAATTATTCAATGCTTTTAGTTACAGGAGTGAAGCTCATCCTTTGTTTTGAGAAACAAATAAAGGATGATCGTCGCACCAGCCTTGGCAATACATAGTCCATAACAAGACATTATTGGAATAACTAGAAAATACATGCATGCAGAAACCCTCGCCTTGCTGACAAAACCGTTGTATTTTCCGAACATGAAGTATCTAAAGTAGTTGTCATGGTAACACGATGATTTTTGTATCTGCGAAGCAGATATATTGCTATCGCAAACGTACCGTACCGTACCGTATCCCTAGTCATTCAGCGACGGGCTTATATAATTCAGCCAATTTATGCCAATTTAAGCCAATCAGCGATCAGTTTACATCAATTGTTTACATCGTGCCCGCATCTAACCTGCGAACGGGCATATTTTAGCCTCGTCAGGCCTCGTGTATAAATCGTGTTTATATTCTTTCAAAAATATCTTGATATTTTTATCAATTTATCTTGAATTGGCTGAAGAGTTTTCTCTACTTGCGATATTATTCCGTTATTTATCAACATGGAATCTTATCCTCATCTGGTAAGTAGTCAAATACCATATATTATAGATTTAAATACCAAATTTGTGCAAATATATATCCCACATATTTAATACATGAGTTCGGCAAATTACTATACAGTACTATCTATAGTTAATATTGCCGTATCTTCGGCGTAGAGACTGTGTACATGAAATGCACTCTGGAATTTTTTTATTAATATATTACACTGTATAAAATACTGGATATTTTCGAGGATATTTTAAGCCATTTGTCAACATAGTTCACAAAAAGATTTATACAGTAAAACAATCCTGTGACTTCTCTAATATTTTAAACAGTCAAAACATAGCAGGCAATATTGCCAATGAACAATACCAAAGGAAACTAATGGCCTCGGGAGATATTGAATTAAATCCTGGTCGTGTATTTCTGTACAAACTCTGTTCAAAACAACAGTCCAACTAAGCTGTCATCAAATGTAGTGTTGGAGGTTAAATGATGTTACAGTATCAGTTTACAATATTTAATACATTTTGGTTTTACACATTTAATAGAGTTTATAATTAAACAAAATTTTTACAAACATTTTCAAATGCTAATATAAAAGAATCCCCATGCACCCTCCCTCCTTTAATATTACATTGTTATTTTGCTTTCTAACATAAATGTTTTTGTCTAGAGATTAATGCAAGAATGATAAATAAATGTACTGGATATTGGCTAGATAATCTTGTCAGAACAACCCACTTGCAAGACAACCTTACCTAAATTCATAAGTATCAATGGTATGGATACTGTAATAACTTAACAGCTACAATAATCATATATTATATGGATGGTCAGATCAATGGCACACAATATGTACAAAACTGAACATGTGATACCTTCTACTCAAACCGATATTCTCGCACAACACACATTGTTTTTGTGTGGATATGTTGTGTTAAACCGAACAGTGTGGTATATCATTAACTGTGCACAGGATTGGAATTTAGTTATATACTTCATTCATGACCTTTAAAACATTCTCTACTATTCAGTGGTCTTCGATATATCATATATGATGGACTCTTTGCTACAGTATTAATGCATGTTCCTCGAATAGTTTGTGTATGTTACTCAACAGTTAACGTTGGCAAGTGTAAACAACAAGTGACAGAACTTTTGCTTCATATGATTACAATAAAGTTTTCAAAATGGGTATGGATTGACAAGTGACAGTTTACTAAATAGACACTGCGAATATTGTTTGCATGAAATTTTTATTTTTTGACTGCATCCGAGTTACAGTTATAATCACATAAAATTAGTAGTTTTGCGGGGGGGGGGAGTTGCCCCTGCTGCCCTCTGTGCTGTCTACAGCCTTGTTAGATTTGTACTATGTTTGACTTTAAAATCTTATTTCCTATTATATTTATTATAATAAGTGATGAAAATGTGAATCAAGTTTTTTCGCAGATACATGTACGCGTCGCGTACCTATTTTTTAAGAATATTCTTACAAATGAAAATCGCCTAAAAATATCACTTTTAATTACAAAATTATCAATTTCCCAACATATATATGTTAGGTATGTAATTATACGTAATACAAGCTTCAATTTAAGGTAAAATTCAACCACAAACAATTCACAAAACGTTTTAAAGTGTTCTTTACAAAACTAAACTGCCTTTAACTATTAAATGGCTTTATCGATAAACTTTGAGTTTGCAATAAAATGATTTCAAATTCTCGCTTGCAAATAACTTTGCTCATTATTTTTTATTTAAAAAATTCAATATAATAAAAAAGGGAATCAATATTAAAGATACACTGAAATTATATGCTGTCTTGTTTAGTTGTTTCATATACGCAAACGCCGTCGGGTTTTAAAGCCATTATAAAATCAATACTTAAAACAAACTTACCTTTGTTAACGTCGGCTCCCTTCTTTTAGCTAATTCTTTCGCCCTTTCTTTCTTGAAATTTACAAAATCTTGCAGAAATACGAGCAAAAATGAAGAATATTTGCAAGAAATTTAAAAATCATCAACTCATCAAATCAAGAAATGTTTGCTATTTCGCTGTCGTCATGCAGTCGTTATAATGCAAAATTTAAATTGGACCAATCAGTGCCCGCTATTCATGACAGTTCGCCATATTTTTGAGATCAGTGAGGATGACCACCCATCGTTGGTGACCGACGCCCGCGCTCATTGATGAACTTTAGACTTCGCTAATGCTTTCGTTTCCCAGGGTGTAAATAGCCGGGGGGAATTAGTACCCTCGCACGGCGCTTCGCGCCGCCGGCTCGGGGATTAACACATTTTGTTTATATCATGAGCTACAATCATGGACATAACCCTTGAGACCATTATTCCAGCCAATATTGCAAAGTTCCCCCAGTTCAACACTGTTAACAGCGCCGAAACAACTTTTGGTAATTTACCATTACACAAGCTCAACATTGAGTAGCTGGAGTAGAGGCTTAAGAAGGGCAACATAACTTTACATGGAGTTTATCATAAGGGGTACGGGAATACAAAAGAAAAGGTAGGTAAATGCAATTGCCAACTTATTCCATATCATCATTGAAAGCTTTGTATAAATGAATGAACATATGAATAAACATAATTTTTAATGACCATACCAACCATACCACAAGTAGTGGTTTACAGAGGGGTCCTCGGACAATGCAGAAACATATCCAACAAAATAGTATACACACACTGGTCATGCTATATAGTCATGCAGAACAGTTAACAAAGTTCAGATAAAAGAAACGGAATCATTGACAGGCCAAATCTTGTCTACATGGCGATTTTTGTCACTTTTCTCGGGTTATATTACAGTATAGAGACTACCCCATTGGAAACAATGGGCGCACCACAATATTCAAATAGTCATCATACATAATTGCGAGTTTAGTCTACCATTTAAGGAGCATAGACGTTCTATAAATATGATGTAAGAGTATTTCAAACGATTAACGAAACGATTTGAAGGAATATTCAAATTAGGGATAATTAATTTTCAGCCAAAGGTAGAGTGCGGCGAAACAAGCACCGCAAGTGTCGCAGCCAAGGGAAGGTGGGTGGTTCCCAAAACATTTCAGCGCCGTCCTTCCTTTTTGGTGGCAAATGCCAAAAAAAATACCAATTTTATGCTACTTTTATACTGTCTGACAATCACGTGATGTATATGAATGACTAACTAATCATCTAATGCATAAATATTCAAATTATATGGTATTGTGAGAGAAAACTCCCAGTGCATGAATATATATTGGTTTTGTGCATAAAATATTCGTATAAATATTCGTATCTTCGGCGATTGAATGCACCTTTCATCGCACTGAAATTATCAAACTTTTGAAAAGAGGTGAAAATGTGTTGTTTATGAAAAGAAAATATGTCTTGAAGTCACGCATGCATATTTCGTTAAAAAGACGTCAAAAAGTTCAGCTACATTTACACGTCGCTCGAAATGTGACATAAAACATAATTGAGAAAACGTAACATTTTGAAGCGTAAATATGGCTAGAAAATTGTGCACCCTCGCCGTTGAATTACAAATGGTAGGTAGTAAATTATAATTGTTATAAAAATCAAATTTGAGACTCGTATAAATTATGAAAACAAAGATTATTATAGAATATGTTGACTCGCATATAATTTAGTAATCAAATTATTTAGTGTGACTAATTGTAGGAAGTTCTTACTCTTGTTTAAATTCAAAATATAACCATAACCACCATAACTTAAAATTGCAGCCATGAAGAACTGGACAATTTATTGGCGACTAAGCATATTCTAATTAGATTTACTGTTATTTCTAAACCTACATCACATATATATATATATATATATATATATATATATATATATATATATATATATATATATATATATATATATATATATATATATATATATATATATATATATATATATATAT